GAATGAAAAATAAACATCTGATGTTACCAAGGTTGCTATAATCTTTGCTATTATAACAAAGGAGTAAAATAGCCCATGAAAAAGTGATTCTTGCTAACCATACGCTCAAAGGCATCTAATCAACATTTGGCACTAGAATGGTATTCGTGGAGTTTGAGAAATGTGTAAATCTGAATTTGTAGATCTTTTTCTGGGAAATCCTTCGTTTTATTAATTTATCTCTTTGTTTTCAAAGTAAAAAGACACACACACACACACACACACACACACACACACACACACATATATATATATATATATATATATATATATATATATATATATATATATATATATATACATATATATATATACATATATATATATATACATATATACATATACATGTGTGTGTGTGTGTGTGTGTGTGTGTGTGCATGTATATATATATATATATATATATATATATATATATATATATATATATATATATATATATATATATACATATATTTACATACATATATACTATATATATATATATATATATACATATATTACATATATATGACATACATCTATATCTATCTATCTATCCATCTATCTATCTATCTATCCATCTATCTATCTATCTATCAATATCTAAAAAATACAAAAGACAACACCAACAAAAATAGTAGCAACAGCAGTAGTAATAATAAAATAAGAGATGCAGAAACGACTGGTGGTAAAAAACAGTACCACCTGATAGTCAAATAAAAAATAAAGATAAATATCTAAATAATTCAATTGCAAATATGTTCTCAAAAGGTACGAATCACTACAGTAGTAATAAAGCAGTAACATTAACCACCTGGTAAACATTTTCGAAGAAATAAGTACAATCCTGGCTTATGTAAAATTACATATAAAGTGGCGTAAGGGAGCGGATATAAAAAGTGATTTTTTCATATGTATAAAAGGAATGTGGTCAACAGGTGGCGTTAGTGCGATACTAAAGGAATTAGAGACGTTTATTAATCAGAATTCATAACCTTTGTTTACGAAATATGAGGGGAATTCTTCCGAGATAAATTACTAACGGCACTTTTCTGCTTGCTCACACGCTGGTATTTTCTATCCAAAACTTCCTTCATCAAAAAAAAAAAAAAAAGTTTAAATTTACAATTTAGCAAACTGGAAATAGCTCTGGTTGTAAGAACAAGACAGAGATTAATCATTTTCAAATTATGCAACATACGCATGCATCAATTCCTTGCTAACGTACCCATAACTATATCTAAAGTGTATTACCACAAAACACTCAGGCAACAAATACAACTACAATATCTTATAAATCAAAAGTCACCGCTATTCATTTTTTTCTGTTACTTATCATTCAAGCGAATATTTTAAAAAATATATATCCACCAACGTTTTCTAGAAGATAATAGTAATGAATAAGATAAAATTATAATGATACCAAGGATCACAACAAGAATACAGAGAAAGCAAGAGGTAATAACAGTAGCACTTGAGAGCCATATCAACAAATAACACCAGCAAACTACACCTTGGTCCTCGAAGGGAGATGAGCACACCAACAACACTTATCGCCTTGAGAAAGAACCACACAGGACTGCCGGATCCGGATAGCAACAAGTGATCGCAAAACTACAATTGCTTTTTGAGTCAAGGAAAGAATCACTAGAGGAACCGCCCGCCAACAAGGCTCAAAGATGAGTGCGATGAGTGCGAGTGAGGCTTTTATCCAGCCGCTACTCCCCTTGAACACGCGCGCGCCACAGAACGCACGCGCGGAACAGGGACAGATTTGAGCCCGTAAGGTATAAGGCGAAAAAATCACACAGCAAAAAAAGAAGGAAGAAGAAACACATACATCGCGTCGTTTCGAGTAATCTTAAAACTAGACTAAAAGAGAAACCTTAAAACGCGGTAAGAAAAGTGACTGTCTATTTATTATTATTATTTTTATTATTATTATTATTATTATTATTATCATTATTATTATTATTATCATTACTATTATTAACAATATTATTATTGCTATTATTATTACCATTATTATTATCATTATCATCATTATTACTATTATTTAAACTAGACTCCTTTTCAAAATGGAAGCCCCTTTAGCCTCTGGAAAATAAGTTTACTCTTGTGTGGTGTGTGTATTTTTCCCGCTTAACTGCGTTTGTATTGAGAACGAGGCATCAGAGGAAATCAATTTATGCACGGATTAAACGACTAAAACTATACATAGAATTTAATATTAGCTGCAGTGGAAAATGCTTAATAGACATTACACAAGTGTTTAGAATTGTAATATAGCCTCTGTTTGGTGATGCATTGGCAATATAACTCATTCCAACTAGTGCTTAGAAATGCAATCAGGGAATCAAATATACATCAATAAGAACATATTTTTCATTTTAGATTGCATAGCTTGCTCATAATAGTTTTATCTAAGAAACAATAACATGTAGGAGACTGATAAAAAAATTAGGAACGTAAAAAAAAACTATTAATAAATATGGTTTATTCAATATTCAATATATATTTAATAGATTGTCATGTATAAATAATGTCTTAATGCCTGATCCACAGGTGAAAATTAGCCTATTCATCATGGTACATACTGCGGGTACTAAGACAGATAACTTACGTGAATACACTCTCTCTCTCTCTCTCTCTCTCTCTCTCTCTCTCTCTCTCTCTCTCTCTCTCTCTCTCTCTCTCTCTCTCTCTCTCTCTCTCACACACACACACACACACACACACACACACGCACACACACACACACACAATGTGGGCGATAGAAGGTTGCGACTCTCTGCAAAACTGACCTGACAACTTACTCTGCCAACCAGTCCCAAACATCGTGCAAGAACATGCCACCTGGTTAGTTCGAAAAAAACGGTGCATATAGTCCTTCAGCGCATCCAAAAAAAATCATCATGCATTTACATTCTGTGGTGAAAAATAAGGTCCTCAGCACCACGACCATAACAAAAATCACCCCCGACCATCACAGATTATCTTACTACCTTGTCAGTGCAATCTGTTACTTCCAGATTAACGACACTATAAACATCGACACTTCGAGCTTGTTCTTACACACATGATGGTATTTTCGAACAAAAAAGGACCATCTTCCACTGCTCCGGAGTCAAACTCTTGTCCTAGTTGCAAAACATCAGTCTGTTGTACTTCACACTCTGCCGAGAAGAAATTTTGGTGTGGCCTTTCGCACGAGTAGATTCAAGTCACGGTGAAGGCGGTCCCGCAGGGTTCGTTCTTTCACATTTTTTAGACGTTCTGAGTATTTTTCTTGATTTCACTGGATGCAATAAATGGGTTCCTACCAGGAATATGCTGGTTAAGTGTATCAGTCTCCGTAAACGTCTTCCTTGTCTTGCCTGGGCATGGTTTAAGTTTGGATACTTTATTATGATGTAGGCCTACACTGCGGCAAGGATGCAGCTCTATGTCGACAGATACAGGCAACAGTGACTCGCATTTTCCTAGTGGCCCCGAATATTTAAAAACCGCTATAAAACAATAGGGGGCTGCCAAAAGTCCACAATCCGAAAACCCGAGCTTCAGGAAATGCTGTGACGAAAACCTTTCCCGCTAAATGATAACGTGCGCGCGCTCGTGTGTGAGAGGGTGTGTGAGTGAGCGCGCGCGCATATATGTAAGCATATAGTATATGCATATATATAGACATAGATAAATAAATAGACAATCTAAATTAGAGTTCCTCTATCATCATCTGAAGACAAGACAAGAATGATAATATTTTCACAGCACAAGATATTTACTCTCACCCATGCCCTTTTCTACATTCGTCGCAATGAATACTGTTCGTACCTGTATCAGTGACGTCACTGGGTGGTTAGCCAGAATAATTAGCACCGGATCTCTTTACTACTGCTAGCTTCAAGCAGTGGTAAAGAACAAATACCTCCCCCTCTCATTATCCTCCGAAATAATCGAACACTAGTATAACTGTCCTTTGTATATCTTGACTTAATACTAGCTTCGAAAAGTTTCATGATTCTGACTGGACTCTGGTTGAAACTAATCACTTGAGTCTTTAAAAAAAAGCTGATTATTCATATGGAATCGTCAACCGTCACTGCATTGTCTATACCACGCTTTTCACCATCTGGGTTGCCTGTCGTGATTCTGTCCTTAGAAATATCAAAGTCTCCCATCTTACTCCCGTTTTCTGTGTCAGTGTTGAGGGAGGAACTGTCCGATTTTGAGGTCATCCAGTGGTAGATTTTTAGACTAGTTTTGTTAACTGTTTTCTCTAGAACATCTGACTTTTCGGACACACCTGAAAAAATCCAAAATTGAACCTTTATAATAGTATCAATAATAATGAAGTTGATAATAATATCAATGTAAATGATAATGATGAATAACAGGAGCACTAATGATCTCTGTTAATTGCATTATTAGGAAATCATGGTTATAGTGATTTTGAAACTTTTCAATCATTAGTTATCATATTGATACTAAATATAATAATGATAATAATAATGGTGATGCTGCAATGATGATGATGCGATGTAATGTGATGTGATAATGATATTGATAGTAACAATAATAATAATAGAGCTCATGCCAGTAATAATAATGGCAACAATAATAATAACAAAACGACAATAATGACGATGATAATAATGATAATGACAATGGCAATGATGATGATCACTACAGGAACAATAAAAACGTCATTAATCAAAATTTCTGAATCCACTAACCAAAAACGCAGGTGGCAAGGTTTGACAAGACGATCGTGCTGAGAACTCCAATGGCCCCGAACAGGCAGTACGAGAGGAGGTACAGAGGGAACACCTCCGCGCTGTTGGTACGTGATTGGTATTAATATCGGCAAAATCGATAGAAAGGGGAAAGCATGAGAAAATTGGGGAAAATTGGGTTTGTTAAATGTTTTAGAGATTGCATTATGAATAGTAGGAGTTTAAGGCTAAGTATATATTTTTTTATTTCTCAATTCTCAATTCTAATTTTGTGATTAAAGGTGTTGAAAATTATTATTGTATTTGAGTTTATTGTTATTTATCTGAAATTGGCCATATCCCATGCTGGGGTAGTGGTTATTCTATTAATACAAATACAAGATCATGTTTCAAGTAAAGAACACTGTTGAGAGAGAGAGAGAGAAAGAGAAAGAGAGAGAAAGAGAGAGAGAGAGAGAGAGAGGGAGGGAGGGAGGGAGGGGGAGAGACAGACAGATAGACAAAGAAAAAGAGAGAAAAAAGAAGAAAGACTAATAAAGACAAAGAAAGCGACAGAAAAAAAGGAAGGCTCAGAGAGGAAGAGAGCAAAACCGTCAAACCAAGAAAGCGAACAAAGCGACCCCAACATCCTACGGAACCGACTCACGGGTCAGAAGGTCCTGGATCTACGGTGCTCGTCGCGAAGGCCGTGGAGGACGTGAAGGGCGTGGCGGTGGCATTGGCCCCGGGACAGCCTTCGGTCGAGAGAGGCAGCAAGGGCGTCGGGGGGGCGTACAAGAAGTTTCCGATCACTATCCACAGGTTGAGGGCGACACCGCAGAGGAAACCCAAAATGGCGCTCTGATGGAGTTCGGATGGGCCAGTTAGCTTAGAGTATTATCTTTAAGAAATATGTTTTGCTAGAGAAAAAATAGAGAAATATTAATTAGAGAGTATTTAGATAAGTTTGGATACTGCGTTCTAGAAGCGTGGGTGTAAATCCCTTAACATTGTGCGTTCAACTCAACTCTAGAATCACGTTTAGATTTATTTTACTGAAGTGTATCAGTCTCACAGTAGCATATATAATCACAGTAACGGAAAGGAAACAAATTTGTAAAAGTGAAATATAACTATAAAAACAGATGCATGTGAGTCTTTGAATGTTCCACTTAAAAATAAATTACAAAGAAACAGGAAAACTCTTGAAGAATTCTAACTGAAAAATAAACTATCTAAAGTGCTCCCTCCTCCTTTAATTAGTAAATGAACAGATGAAAAAAAATAGACAAGTAAATGGATGAATATATATATATATGAATAAAATTAAATATTTACATATTCCCAAAAAGAGGGGGGGGGCAACTCGATCAAACATGTCTGCTCACCACAGCCTTGACCCAGGGGCACAGGACACCAGTAAGCATCACCCCGGAAATAGGGCCGCCCAAACCGCCCGCAATGGAGTAGGCGACCTGCACGAGGCCGCCCATTCTCCCAGCCAGAACGCCCAGGACGGTGGAGAGCACGCCGATGAGCATGGCTGCGGAGAGCGAGAGGAAACCGGGGAGGGTGAGGGAAGGACCTTAACGAAGTTACTCGGGACAGGGCGACGTGGTTGCGGGGGTGGTAGTGAGGAGGAGGTAATGGTTGGGCCGAGTGGAAAGAAAGATTAGGCGCCCGTAACGTGGGGAAAGTAATTACGGTATTCTAAGAAGAATGAGTAAACGTGTGTGTGTGGGTGAGCATACACACACAAACACACACACACACACACACACACACACACACACACACACACATATATATATATATATATATATATATATATATATATATATATATATATATATATATATATATATATATATACATACACACACATACACACACACACACACACACACACACACACACACACACATATATATATATATATATATATATATATATATATATATATATATGTGTGTGTGTGTGTGTGTGTGTGTGTGTGTGTGTGTGTGTGTGTGTGTGTGTGTGTGTGTGTGTGTGTGTGTGTGTGTGTGTGTAGTGTGTATTATATATATATATATATATATATATATATATATATATATATATATACATATACATATACATGTACATATACATACACAGACACACACACAAACACACACACACACACACACACACACACACATATAAATATATATATATATATATATATATATATATATATATATATATATATATATATATATATATATATATATTGTGTGTGTGTGTGTGTGTTTGTGTTTGTGTCCGTGTCTATGTATGCATACTACAAAAATCAGGATCAGACGGGTTACTGAATTTCAGCATTTTTGTATGACAGTCATAATAACAACAAAGCCAAAGCAACAATAAAACATGTAACTAAAACAGTACATAGTACCAGTAGAGGAAAAGAAGTTGGACTCACATATGATGATATTTGCATTTTTGGCTTTCGTCGGAGTATAATTCTTGAAAGTCTTGAACGCGAGCAGTAAATCTTCCCATATCATGGCAGCCATGGCATTGAGATTGGATGAAACTGAGCTGTGTAAAATCAACAGATATTATTTTTGCTGAACATGTGATGATAATGAAAATAACTATAGGGGGGGGGGATCTATCAGTGTTATATCTTTTCTTATACATTGCCATCATCATGAAACACCTGTTATACACAGTATCAGCATTAATCCCCAACATAGTTGTATCTTAAAGACTCCATGATCCTATCTAACACAACCAAAGCAGGTCGTACGTCTTTGATCTCAAGTTTCTACTGCGGTTTCTCCTAAAGAGATTTTGACACCACAGTAGCATACAGCCTGGCAGCTCTTGCTCAGGTACATTTTTTGTTACTTCGGTATCTTACAGACATCCAAGCTCTCGTTACAATCTTTCATGCTTCAATACACGCGCCCTATACCCTACATCCCCCGTGTCTACATTTCCCAGATATTAGGGTAGATTTCCCTTTACAAAATGTTATGTACTAAACTGATAGACTGGTGGGAACACCTTTATCGTCTCTCTTTTACCGCCCTGGAACATTCATTTATCAAAATAGCATCTGTCACAGATTTCCATTTAGCCAATTGTTCACTACCTATGCTATTACGTAACCAGCTCTTGGAAGGTGGCTCTCTATGTCTTCACCCTGGCGTAACAGTCTTCTATGATCAAGAAGGCAAAACCCGAACAACTGACCCCATTCCTTTCGATCAATGATTAAAAGAAACCTTTCGCCGTTACTCCCGTCTCCTCGCGTGAAACAAAGGCAAAAGACACAACAACAAAAAGATCGGCAGAACGATCCTCCCACGATCGCGTGAATCTATATCCGGAAGGTATTTGCCAAGAATGGTGTCACTGTTCTTGATGTTTACAAACCTCCATTGTCACGAAGAAGCCAGAGGGCCTTATTCCGAAAGAGTAACGTCGAAACTGTAGGCACTTCCATAGGGGGTACACAGCACCCAAGAAATCCAAGAGAAACAAGAATTCTTGCAAGTACATTGAAAGTGCGCTTGCGGCTGAACTAAACGATCACAAGAAATTCTTGGTTTGGGATTCTGGGATTAATGGCCTGGTTTCGATCAGTCCACGTGGACACAATTCTCCCATGTAGCGTTTTCATATGTTAATAGATACGAGTAATAAAAATGTAATCCCTCAAATGTATCCTTCAAATATACAAACATCCTCCTATGAAATCGGCATCACTATCATTTACCGGTCCAAAATGCCGGACACAGTCCTAATAACAGACGGCGTTTAATGTTACCTCAACGGGGCGAACACGCAATCTGATCAATTTCCACAACACAATGAAACCAGTTTGGTAGGTATGCATATAAAAATCAAATAAATTTGATATGGGGAAACCCCCTCTTCCGTCCCCAAATCTTCATCTCCGTCCTCCCTTCCCAACTTCGCCTCCTACCATAAAGAGGCTGAAGACCTTATCTCACCTGAGGACTCCACTATAGACAGCCGCCACGAAAAGTCCTGGAATTCCCTTGAGGTAACCGAGCTTGTCCACGACGAAGTAAGCCGTGACCTGTTGAGCAAAGGGATCGACAGATAGATGGCTTTAAAGGATTATTCGTGACATCCTTATGAGACTTCTGAACTGGGGGAAACTTAGGTCGTTATCTGTGACATCATCGTGTTTTTTTTTTAAGTAAGGGGAATTGATCATTATTCATTTTATAAGTGCATGTATCTAATGAACAAAGAGAAGCAGAAAAAGGAAGGAGATGGACCAGCATACTAGGAAAGGGACGGCCTTTCTGGCACCTCTTCACGTTATTACATTCTGTTTTTGAAATTTAGAAGCTAAATGCTGTCTAATCTAATATATTTTTAAGATTTCTTCATAAAACATAAAATACCAGACAAAGTTACAGTGCAATATCCTCATCCTCAAACAGCATCGTGTATCACCTCTTTATTTATTCTAAATCCGTTCATACTGATAGTTAAAGCGAAATGAAAATGCCCCATCAGATAAGGTTGCTGGTGCATCTTTGCAATGGGTACTCTAAGAATAACCTGAACATGCTATATGGGACAAAATCCCTCAGAAGAAAAAGTCATCATCGTGGCCTTACCTGGTCTATTTTCTGAATCCAACCTGCTGACAAAGGGTCACAGTCAGCATACACAGCGAAGACCACCAGACCAGCAAAATTTATGAGAGACCAAAGGACCATCAAGCCAAAAATGTTGATAGCCATTACCCTAAAGGAAAGAAGGATGCGTTTTGGTTATATGTTACTAGAAAATTGCCTTTGTTACTATAAGAATTTGGATCATAAAAAGTTTATTCTCAGGAAACTTAATGCTTGCCGTATTTCGCGGATATATATTTTTTCTCGATCACCGAAACGAGATAACCAAAACATCTCGCATTAAGCATAGAGACACTAACTATAAGAACTTTCCACGTCACAATTAATACTCTTTCTCTACATAGCCTCACAGGTAGACTTGTCTGATGTTCTCTACGGAGGCCCATCGCTGGTACTGGGCCTGAGACGTCCCCTGCATGCTGATGGACATGTAGATTCCCAAAATGGTCGTTGTCATGAAAGTGTGTCGCACGAGGGGGTCCGGGTTCATGCTGAAGGGAGAGAGTGGAAGGCGAGAGAGGGATTAAGGAATAGATAGGATGATGCGTGGGGATAGAGGTAGCAAAGAAGAGGAAAGGAGAAGTGCAAGAGGAACTGGGAAACAGATCCTTTTATGAACAGAAGAAAAAAAAGGAAGTGCGAGAGGAATTCGATAATAAATATGATGAATTTGGGGATATAAAGAGAACAAGAGGTGAGGGAAGCCTTACATAGATATAATGCATTGGGGGGGGGGGGGCGAAATATACTGTAAATCTTAAGACTGGGGAGGAAAAGGTATGGGTGGTAACATAAATAACATCAGAAACCTTGAAACAATTGTCACAGTTAAATTACTACAGATTTATCTTATCAAGCTAAGTACATCACGCAATCCTTATCTCGCCACTCATCGGTGATTATTACACAGACAGCTATTAAAGTTAAAACAAACAGTAACAATATATGCCGATCTTAAATATGCCATAACCCAGCAACAAGTGTGAAAACCATTTTATCCATCTCACTTGAAGAACTCAATCCTCCCGTTTTCTCTGTTAATCTCCCACACTGCAGCTCCTCCTCCGACCTCCACGCAACCCTGGATGATGACCACGATCACCCCTAAGACCATCACGAGAGTCTGGAAGGTGTCGGTGTACACTACTGCCTTCGCCCCTCCCTGGGTGACGGGGGGTATACTCGTTAATTGGTTAAGCAAAGTGAAAAAAATAATTTTGGTATAATTTTGTATTTCCTATTCCAAGAGATAGATAAATTAGAGATAGATTAATCCTTTTTTGTATAGTTTTGTATTTCTTTTTAATTGTTTTGATGTAAAGGACGGGAAAAGCCTACAGTAAATGTCTAGACTAATAATAGATAAATATCACAGCCACATTTATATAGTAGAGTATTTTTTAAAAAAGATATATGTGAGGTGAGGAATATGACCGTAAAACGATAACTTTTTCAATCAATTCGTATCCAGCCACTTGAGACGAATTGCTGTTCATTTCTACCCTCTTTAGTCCAACGTCCAAAAATATAAAGTATCTTAATAACTTACAACAGACGCGTAGAAAGTGCAGACGAGGCCAAGGACGACGACGGAGATGTTGGTGGGGATGGGCGTGACGGAGGAGAGAGCGAGCGAGGGGGCGTACAAGGCGATGCCAAGGTAGAGGAACATGTTGGCCAGCTGGAGCACCGTCACCAACTTCCGGAGAAGGCGAGAGCCCCAGCGAAGCTCGAGGTACTGGGAAACGAGCGGGGTTCGGATTAATTGTTCTCTCTATATATTTTTCTCTTTTTCTGTCTTTATCTCTGTGCCTGTTTGTCTGTTTGTGTTTCTCTCTGTTTGTCTGCCTCTTTCTCTCTCTCTCTCTCTCTCTCTCTCTCTCTCTCTCTCTCTCTCTCTCTCTCTCTCTCTCTCTCTCTCTCTCTCTCTCTCTCTCTCTCTCTCTCTCCCCCCCCCCCCCTCTCTCTCTCTCTCTCTCTCTCTCTCTCTCTCTCTCTCTCTCTCTCTCTCTCTCTCTCTCTCTCTCTCTCTCTCTTTCTGTGTGTGTGTGTGTGTGTGTGTTGTGTGGGTGTTTTTGCATATAAAATGCTTCTATGTACTACACATACTCCTTAATTTATGTGTATACATATTTGCCAATATTTGTGTGCGTGCGCCCTACTATGGATGTAAATATTGTAATCCATTCATAGTATGAAGCTGTGGAAATCATCTCTCTAAAATTTTTATAAAATGGAGATATCATAGGTAGAATCAACTATATGTACAGTAGCCCGATTATGTAACAACCCTTTGTGTGTAGTGGGTTTTTCTGCCATTTTATCAACATGACACTGTATTTTATCAGAGAAATTCACAAAAAAAAAACGTTGACGAGGTTCAGTCACGAAATTATTTGGATGAGTCACTGATCCTTAATTACCAAATATAAGCAGGGTTATCAGTTTAGCCACTTTCACGGTAAGATAACATAGCTTTTGACCGGCGATTAAAAAGTTTAACACAACACTCTCACTGATTATTTTACCTTATTGTAAGATTTTTATTGTATCATGCTGGGCTGAACTTGTCTGTTTTGCCTCAAGTCGTTACCAGCGTCCGAAAACTAACGTATACATATATGCATATATTTGCCCAAACTAACACGCACACACGCATATAGACGCACATGCATAACACACAAAGACACACACACATTATATCAGTCTAACGAATTGTTTATCATGCTTTAATGGGATCCTGTCAATTTCGCAAAATTCAATAACGCTAACGTTCTATATGACTGAAATTATGGCTTTAAAAGTCTAAAAAGAAAAAAAGGGTTTCGTCACCACAGCTTTGAATCGAATTTAAGCTGAACAATTCACATAGCAATGTTTTTTTTTTTTTTTCTTTTTTTTTGGGGGGGGGCGATATCTCATCACTCATGGACATTTTCTTGTTGAGTCTGTGTCTTATATATTATCAGTGCTTATCTATGCTCATTCGTCCGTTTATCTATATTGCTATACCCCTCTATCTATCTATCTATCCATTTCTCTCTCTCTCTCTCTCTCTCTCTCTCTCTCTCTCTCTCTCTCTCTCTCTCTCTCTCTCTCTCTCTCTCTCTCTCTCTCT